TCTTGTCATTGATGAGGAGAGAACTTGCATCTCTTGAAAAGCCTACCACATACTAGACAGAATATTCGGTTGGTGCTTTTTGTATTTGGTCTTTTTTAATTGCCACAACAATACCATGAAAGATATTACTATCTAGAAATACATTTTTTTTTTTTTAAGTAGACTCCACACCCAGTGTGGGGACCAACATGGGGCTTGAACTCATGATCTTAGGGCTTGAGATCAAGACCTAAGCTGAGATTAAGAGTTGGATTCCCAACCAGCTGAGCCACCAAGGTGCCCCTGTCTGGAAATAATTTTATAGATGTTCAGTATCTTCCCTGAAGTCTCAGAATAATTTAGTGACTGAATCAAGATTGGGACCCACTATTGTCTTGTAGGAGAGGAAGAAATATTCCTCAGTCCCAGGTTTTTCTAGTTGAACTAAGAATTACATATACGTGAGACAGATTAACAGGAGAAAAACCCAAAATTTGATGATGTGCCCATGGAGGCCCAATAATGAAACTGAGACCTAAAGAAATGACCAAGGCTGGCAGTTTTACACTCTTTACATAAAGACAATAGGTTGGGAGGAATTGACAAGATGAAGAAAACTCAATTTTGGAAGCTTCAATTAGTAAAGAATGCTAAGCAGAATTTGGGCTGGGGTAGCAAATTAGTAGAGTGTGAAAAGTTGTTTACACAGCCTTCTTGGCTCTTTTCCCATCTCTGGTGACAAGGATGTCTTTACCTTTTGGTACAGGAGGCTACCTTTACACATGGGAGATTTAGTTCCTGCTTTCAGGGGGACAGAGGATGGTCTGAGTATCCTTCTTACATAGGCTGTCACGTAAGTAACTTTTATTTAAAATATTCAATATGCTGACATGGCACATTTTGGGGCAACCTGCCCTTGGCCCCTACAGTCTCCAAGCTTATCTATGTTCTGCTATGTTGTACTCGGGGAGAGAGCTTTATCGGTGGCTGAGGCCTTACAGGTGTTCTCACAGATTGTCTAAGAAGCATTCATTGGCCGTGCTGGTCTCTGACACAGTCTGATTTCTCCTGGAGAAATGGAGTCTTTTTATATCTCAAGTATCTAGTGCAACCTCTGGCACATAGTAGATCCTCAATCAATATTTGTGGAATTGAAATTCAATTGCTCACATAGGCTTGACTTAGTGCACAATGTCTCAGCTAGGTTCTCGGGGCCATTTGAAGATCATGTCTGACTGTTATTTGGAAAACCACTGGGTTCTCAATTTTGATTTTGATCTTATGATATCAAATATCCACACATGAAAAAGTGGCTTTGTTTTCAGACACAGGGAAGCCTGAAGGGGGTGAGATTCTGTATCTAATCTTAATAAAAAGGGACATGAAGAGACCATGCAGATACAAGGTTGTTTCTGGGAAGCAAGGGTGGTGGTTTTTTTCTCCTCTATTTCTAGATGGGTTTAGGACGCTCAGTTGTCCTTCCTGAACTGTTCTATTGTTCTTGATGGTTTCTAGTCCTGAAATCTGCAAGACCATATTTTTCACAGGTAATTATTGAATGAAGTCAACTTTGTCTTTACAACCTAATCCATTGTACCTCATTCTCACTCATATATGAGTTTGACAAATGTGAAACAGAAAAATATCAGGACTCAGGGGAAGTGTAGAACTGCATGGTGGGAGAAAGAGAGCCCTCTTTCCTGAACTTGAGACTAACTGGCAGGTGATGCCTTCATGGACAGGGCTGTTTCTGCAGCCCCAAGTAGGATGAGTCACATGAAGACCATGTCTGAATCTGTGCATTTTTCCCTTGCAAGTTTCCTCTCCTGAACAGTTGGCCTTCATTGTTGAATCTGATTGTTTTGCTGATAACATGTTACCTGGTGAGAATCAGTATATTTTCAAGCTTTGATGTTTTTAGGAAATTATCTTTATTTTCAATCGTTGATCTAGACATGCCAATGGTTATTTAGGCCACATTTTGAGCAAAACCCACAAGGTGTTTGTTTGTTTGTTTTCCAAATCTCACATGTGTACAAAAAACAACACAATTTTAAGGGTTTGCTTAAAAGAACAGAACATAAGAAATACAGTGAGACACAAGCTCATAACCAAATTCAAATCAGTGAGCAGATCTGATTCAACAAGAGAAAAGATTACAAAACAAGTCTGTGTTTTGTAGGAAGCACTATCTGAAGACAGTGTCGCCAGACACACTCCAAATGCCTTTGTGGGAAGCCTTAAGCAGGTGGAAAGAGAGCTGGATTTTTAATCAGCCTGGAGGAGTTCTGGTAGGTTAGGGCTTCATGAACAAATTTCTGCGTATTCACGGGTTCTGTTAAAGGAAAAGCAGGCTTTGACAATAAGACCTGGCAGTGATATATATTCTCTCTCTCTTAATTTGATCTGAACTCTGTTTTGCTTACTAAAAATAGCCCTTTGATTCCTTTCTTCTCAAGTAATGACAGAATTAAACTTGGTAAGTCAACTATTGGTGGTCCATGGACCAGGAGGAGAATATAAAGATAAAATCCATGCTTGATCCAACAGCTGTGTCTGAACTAGCAATGAACTCCTCTATCGAAACGGAGCCACTACTAGGCAGGAAAAAAAAAAAGTTTTCACATTCTCTTTCCTTTCTTTTTTTTTTTTTTCCTTTTTTGCCAAAAAGTAAGGAACTCAAGAAAACTCCAGATGGTTGAAAGAAGGACAAAAATGCATCTAGTTTATGCATCATGTATCCTTCTACTTCAAATTTGGATTGTACTAGTAGCTGCATCATAGTCGGATATCTGGTGGTTTTCTCTGTGAGCTCTTCTTCAAGACCTAATTGTAACATAGACTTCTGTCCTATGAACTTGGAACTACTAAAAATGCCTCCAATCTTACTTATTTAAGTTACAATATAAATATAATTTAAACAAAGTCCATTTCTTAAACCCAAGACAGAGGTCCCATTCGCTCAAATAGCATCTTCACTTTTCTCCACTGTACCATCCTTGACAATTGCTTTTCTTCATTTGATCTCAGGTACGTTAAACACACACCACTCAAAAGCTCTCTCTGCACCATCAGACCAAAGTAAGAGAGATTCAGAAGCAGGAATACATTCAACATTTTCTCTTTTGAGGCCTCACCAAGCTGAGAGCTCCAGAGGATTAAAGCAATAAAGAATCCTGTGTCAGTTCATAGCTATTACAGAGAAAAAAAAGTTAGTGTTGAGATTTCACAACTTCTCTCTTACCCATATCAACAATTTCAACTTCTCATCCACCCATTTCGTGAGGTTTTTCACACTTTCTTCAGTACCATCTGACAATCTCTCCTACTTTAATGAAAATATAACCAACTTTCCAAAATGTCCCCTAAACCTTCGCTCGGCAAGCCTCAGTGTCTCTACAGAAACTTAGTACAAACCATTTAGTTTCCAACATTTCATTTGTATGTTAGGAGGGGAGAAAACCCGCAAGAGTTGCAAGTAGGGAACGAGAGTTAGCTGTCAGTTTGTCTGCTTGCAAAGCAGCTCGATGGTGGCAGAAATGATCATATTATCATTCTCCCACTACAACATTATTTAAGGTAAGAAGAAAGGGACATGCCAATTTTCACGTAACATTATTTAAGTTAGAACTTTGAAAGAAAAGGTTGAATGCACAGAGCTCAGTCACCAGAGAAGGATGCGGTAACAAACTGATTTTCCGACCAAGAGTCTGCGGAAAAAAATGACCAACCAGATTCCAAGGTGACTCTGTTAGCTAGAACCGTAATGAATCACGATGACCTGCCAGGAAGGTAAATTCAGTCGCAAAACTGAAATGTTTTCTTGACTTCAATAATGTTAACTTCAGCTAGATAATTGAGTAGTTGTTCACACGAAATTAAGGAAAAAGAAAAATCCAGTTACTGTTAACGCCAAAGAAATGCACGCCAACCATAAACCAAAGGTGCTTTGGTACTGTAGCCATAACAAACAAAGTGTGGTGGGAGAGCAGGGAGTTCCCTGATGGTTAGATGACAGGGTCATAGAAGGTTTGTGAGACCTGCCGTGTCTCCTGCGAGGTTGACACGTCGCCACGGTCCAAGACAAGAGTCACATAAACACGAGCTTATCAGCTGGCTTGTTAAAACAGTGTGCAACATCGCTGTGTTGAAAAGTGACTTCAGGCTTGTTGGAAGGTCCCATTAATCTGAGGAAATGATGCTTGGTGCCATAGATAAAAACACTATGGTCTCAAGCGGAATGCGTGTGAAGTTTCCAGAATATTTCCTCAAAGACTTTAGTCAGTTTTGGTTTGTGACCTTAGCTGGAAAGCACAAAGATGGGCATGGGAAGGCAGTTCAGAAGGACATCTGTGAGGATTTAAGTCGGGCAGCTTTCAGAAGATGAAAGATGTTTAAAGTTAAGGCCTTTATCTGCAAACAATAGTATATTAATAAACTCTATACCAGATTTACAAATGCATTCTCTTGTATGAAAACTAACAGTATTCTGTTCACAGTGCCATTATTGATACAGGTAGCAATCCCATAATACTCATGTATTTTGGCATGGGAATCAGTAGCGCTTGGTATTTACAGAAAATGTACACGTGTGCATATAAACATGTCATGGAATCTGAGTTGTAGATAAAAGACAGATCGGCTAATGGTGCAAAGGAATGAACTGTACAGCACCTTCCCCTCGGATAGGATAGGAAACGTGGTTTCTTAAATTGAACAGACGCCAAATCTCTGACCCCAAGTGGCATCAAGTCAGTAACAAAACAATGAACCCCCTGTTCAAGATTGGGTACATTGAGTAATCCTAGTCCAAAGTTTTAGATCCATTGTCTAGTGCATAAAATATAAAAGTTAAAAAGATTTATTATTATTTTTATAATAATAATTATTATTAAAATAGAAGGTCCTTTCTCTCACGTTCTCATTTGTGCTCTGGCACTTAAGAGCCATCTCCTTGGAGGTCCGAGTATGCTGGTGTTTTTGTCATGCAGATCAGCAGTCAGATGGCAAACGCTAAAAAAAAAAAACCAAAACAAAAAACTGCTCTGGACTCAGCCACCGTCGCCTGTCACAGTGTGACCCGGGGCCCGAGGAGGACATGGCAGGAGCACCTCTTTCTTACTCCCCAGTCTTCTCCTGGAGGGGCGAACCTGACCCCCTCATCCCCCCGAGATCGGCGCCCACGTTCCTGAATGGAGTTGCTTACTTCGGCAGCAAATGCTGAGGTGACGGATGGCTTCTGTACACTTGGAAAAAGGAGAGGAGGCAGGTGAGTGGGAGGAGGGCGGCCTTGCAAAAAGCCCGGGACGGATCCCAGCACGTGGCTGGCCTGGTGGCCAAGAGGTGCCACCCTCTCAGGAGGCCTCTGCTCCAGGAGGTTCTCCTCTCTGCGCCGAGCGGGGGCGGACTGGCTGGGACTACGGGGCGTCGCCTTTGGTCCCAGTGGGCACGTCGCTGTCAGTCCCCTGGCCCGCGTGCTCCGCGCCACCGCTCCTGTGGGGCGTGGGCAGCAGGCTCTTCCACTGGGCTTTGTTGTGGGACAGGTGGCGTAGCATGTTCTCCGACAGGGCGCTGGGGCCCGTGAAACGGGCCCACTCCCGGAAAAGTGGCTCCACGATGTAGCTCATGAAACCTAGAACGGGCAAGGCCAAGTTCAGCACCGCGAAGGCGGCGCGACACCCACCCCACCCCCATCATCCCTCCCAGACCCCACTGGGCTCCCTCTAGAGATACGGAGGTGAAAGCAGATATGCTCCCTAAACTTCGGTTTGGGAGCACCTGGTGTGTCACCCCGGACTTGTTTCTTAACCCCTCGAGCCTCAGTTTCCTCGTTTGTAAAAAGGGGCTAGGAAGAGGACCAGACCCCTAGGTTTCTTATGACCAGGAAATGACTTCACACAGGTGAAATGCTCCGAAAGCTCCCGGCACGCAGTAAACCCTGCATACCTTTGGCTGTTATTTGCGGAGGGAGAAAGACAGCCGAACAGAAAAGGTAGGAAAAAGTCCGTGTTGGAGCTGAGGAGGGGGAGCGGGAGAGGAGGAAAGGGGGAATGATATCAGGAAGGGGCATATGGTTGCTGTAGACCTATGGGGAATTCATGTGTTTTACGCTGCAGGATATTTCTTCAAGAGTATTGATTTACAGCTTTGTCTTACTCTCAGTTATGTTAAGCAACTAAACGGAGCTTCACTCATTTTTGATAGGGATTTTTACCTGTATAAAATCCCTACGTTAATGACCAGATAAGAATGGTTGATATTCGATATGTCTGTTCTCTTAATTTCAATGTTAGGGTCTTTCCATATTAAATATGATTTATTAAAGCCAAGACGACTTTCAGTCTAGGCTGGAATGACTGGAATCATCACAAACTTGGACATAGTTAGGTTTTACTGAAATGTAGGTGTGGGGAGAAAGTGTTTTTTAGCATAATGAATTTTCCACTAACTGACAATGTATGTTTATGAGGCTGTGAATTATAAGACTTGATTTGATTATCTTTTTATTGAACAAACAGCAGATGCTTGGCCTTTGAGGATGCTACAGAGATGGAAAAAGGATGGAGGCATGCAAAGTGTTATTTCACATTTCTGCATTATCTCATCGTACATGAAATATGATTTAAGTAGTATGAGATCATTTTAGATAACCCAAACCTGACTGAGGAGGAAATTTAAGCCAGTGATAAGGTTATATAGGGAGTCACAAGTAAGGATTCCCTTGAATTTTCTTGTTTACTATTCCTGAATTTTCTTCACTTCCTTCATAACCCCCATATCTAATTTCTAATATCCTTCACCGTACAAGAGATTTGATATTAGAAAGATGGTTCACAAAATGATACTATTCTCAGGTTTAAAGTGTAAATATTTATCAGGTGTACCTTCATATCAAAATGCTACAAATCCAACATTTAAAAATCTGGTACTTGAAAATCAACTCATTTTCTTCCTGGCATTCTTGGGGAATTATCCCCCATATATCTACTTGTCCGATATAAAGCCACTCATAGTAGATTGGGCAAGCCCATTTTGAAGTCTGAGTAGACACCAGGAGGTACTTTTTCAAATGAAAGTGACTTCCGCACGATCACATTTGGGAAACTGTCCCATCCATTCCCAGTGCATTATGCCAAGCTCTCTCTTCTAAGCAAGGGAGGGACTGCCTGCCTGGATTTTGTCCTCCTGGAAGGCTGGGAGGGGGAAAGGGAGGTATGGTGGCCTCAGAGCAAACAGGGAATAAAGGCAAGCCTCCTTCTCCTCCTCCTTCGATAGCTTTCACCAATTAGAGATTCATTTGATCTAGTATCTTCTTTCTGAAATGCAGAATTCAGTGGAGAGAGGGAAAGGGATTTTAAATCCCACTTCCACTTGGGTGAATATGAATGACTTAAACAGAAAATCAGATCCAAACCTGAGATGGCATGTGGGGAAATTCTCACTGTGGATTGGGACAGGAAAAAAGGAGACAGTTACAGTCCCGGGGGAATCAGGGCAGAGGACATAGCTGCCCTACTTAGGACCCACTGGCAAAATCCTCGTTTGGGAGGCTGAAACCTGCAGCTCCCATCAATCAGACTTTATCTTCGGATTTTTCCAGTTTAGCCTGATCTACACCTTCATACCACACCTCCCAACCTTGACCCTACAGAGCCCGGGGATGTGGAACAGAGATCAAGAAAGATTCATGTACGAAAGGTTGTTTTAGCATCACCTTCTCTTTCTCTTTCTTTTTATTGGTGTGCTGCCGCAGCCTCCCCAAGCCTTTCCTAGTCACTCAATCCCCACCCCATTTTAAAAACAGGTATCTATGGTAACCACATTTTCCTATGCTGAAAACCAGGACATATGATCTGACAAAATAAGTGTGTTCTCATGACAACAACAGGGTAGAATCTCTAAAATCAGGTCTGTCTTGCAAATCCAGGTTGTGTGCTTAACAATGTGAATGCTTTTCACAAAATGTCTTTAGCAGGAGCCTGGTAAATTTCTTTCTAGCCAGAGCATTAACAATGGGGGGGCGGGGCACAGAGTTGGGATTTTGGTCAGGGTCTATTCCTTTTACATCGCATCTGCAGAACCTCCATAACTAAGGGAACATGGAGGGGGGATTGGCTCCAGGGAGACCAAGGCTGAATTTCTATTGATGTTACTCCCTTCCCTGCACTGCCCCCCAGGGATTCTGAAGCTATGTCATCACCCTGGATTCTTCCTGGTTGGTGTTTTTTTTTGGGGGGGGGCTTTTTTTTTGGTTTGTTTGTTTTTCTTTCTCTTTTTGTTTTATAACACTCCCACTTTTTCCTCTTTTGGGTGGAAGAATCAGTTTAATTTTAAAAACAACACAACAATACTAAGGGCAATTTGGAAGAAAGATGGATCACCAATAATCCCATAATTTCAACATACCTATTTTAATATTTACATCCGTCATTCAGATCTTTGTAACTAGGTTAATTTTGTTCCTATTCCCAGAGGATGACTTTATGACTCTTTTGTGGATGAGATTTGACTCGTAGTGACTATAAGCATATTATTATTTGACTAACTTGCTCTGGTTTTCTTAATTTTCAGTTTAACTTTTTCCGATGCCCTGTTCCTTCCCAATAGAGGCTTTAAGCCTTAATCCTTGCGGAGGGCTGCAGCCCTGTGAAGGCATTAAGCTCTCTGAGGTCTGTGGGAAGTGGTACATGTCAGGGCTCTAGTTTATGACTAAAAGAGTTCAAGTTCTGAGTTTGGCTTTAATTGGAAGGAACTGCAAGGAAATGAAGGACTTGCTTTAAGTATAGATGCAATTGGAAAAGTATTTTAAGAACTGATAGAAATTCATACTGTATCAAAAATATTTCCTATGTGCCTGAAATTTCCACCATTTGATTTCTTTAATAGTTTCATGTAATATAAAGTAATTATTATGTTAGATGCATTAGCATCACAGTTGAACAGTTTACTGCAATTGATACTTGAGAATAAGACTGAAAATAAGTTTTTAAGTGGAAAGTGGAGAAGCAGGGGACCTTGGGCTACAAGCAATAACATGGTTTGCCGAGCACACGCCTTCGGATTGCGTTGGGGATGAAAGGTAGTGGGGCAGACTGGAAGGGTCCTCAAGGTTCATTCTGCCGACTTCCCACTCTTTAAGTCCTAAACAGTGCGAACTAATCGTTTCTCAGCTGCAAATAGTTGGTTCTTAAGACTTTCCTTCTACTCAATTTGGTTTTGATTTGATTCTGAACTACAAAGTTAGTACAGTTTAGTTAAGGGTCTGTAACAAAGACTTTACTCCATTTTTCGTAGTTTTTTAGTTGGTAATTACCCAGTAGATCAGTCATGGTTAGACTGTTTATTTGGACTTAGCCATTCATTAAACCTCCAGTTTGGATCTTTCAAAGGCTGCGTGTAGATTTTTTTTTTTTCTTTGTGACTCTGGCAGAGCTGCCAAAAGTACTTATGTAAAATTAAAACTGGGGGCGCCTGGGTGGCTCAGTGGTTAAAGCCTCTGCCTTCGGCTCAGGTCATGATCTCAGGATCCTGGGATCGAGTCCCGCATCGGGCTCTCTGCTCAGCAGGGAGCCTGCCTCCTCC